TCTTTGTTTCAACACTCTTGGCTTCTATCTACTATTTCTCCACTGAGTATTTTTTGCAACTATAACATTACATCATGCTAATAAATCAAGATACTTTCAGAATATGGAATCTTTCCCCTCCACTCTCTAGCTCTCTTTACCAACAGAGGAAAAACTAGTTATATATATATACACACACATACACACACACACACACACACACACACACACAGGCAGAAAACACTGTTTTTAGCAGGGTCATCCATCACAAAGGAAGTTTTGAAGATATAAAAATTTGTGATATTTTTCTGGTAGAGTTACAAGTGCCAGATGATATCAGAGGCTTGGCACAATGCATAGGAACTAAAATATATTAGCCCCTGTGAGGCCTTGAACTAACTCCCTACAATCCAAGCACCATCCTGAACAGAATCTAGGGGCCAGTAGGAAGTCTTTAACCGAAAACATCACTGATGCTTCAGTCAACTACAGAAAGGAAGAGAGGACTAAAGAACAACCCCCCCCCCACTTCTCATAATGACCATTTGTCTATATAATTCCATTCTATTCATTCCCTCAGATTTCCCAACTAATATGCCAGTGAATCAAGTGAAACCCTTAACTCTTATTTCTGCTTGCATGGCCTTGTTTGGTTCACTGACATAGAAGGAATATAAGCTTAGAATCAGAAAGAGTGGGGTTCTAATCCTAAGGTGGTTATTTATCACCAGGGAGACAAGCTCTGAATTTTACTGAGCCTTAATTATTTCATCCACAAAGTATTATCTCAGACATGTCTCTATGCTGTCACCATTGAAATCTAAATGCAAGACCAGAAACTGGCTTTGGATCAGATCAGGCATTTGTGTGTGTACCTAATATGTTGTAGTTGGATCTCTAGAAAGTCAGTGTAACTCACAGTCAAAGGCTCTTTCAAAACAGTATTAAACAAGCTGGGTTTGCTAGATAGCTGGTTATACTTAAGCTTCTCACTTTCAGAATTCCTTAGCAACTTTTCGGGGAATTAGTGACCCACAGAATTTAACAATTTGTCATTTAGTTGCAGTAAGGGCAGGATATTTCAGATAGGGAAAACTGACTCATAAAAAAAGAGTTCACCTAAAATCCTATCTTAAAACTTGGCTTATTTTATAATCTCCATCTGAAAGTGGTAGGAACATGCCCTACTCCCAACATTCAGTTTTCCTTCCCTTCCTATTCACTGTACAGAACTCTAGGTTTCACTCTATTTTCATGCATGTGTATAATGTACTCTGACTTTACCCACCCCTCTATCATCTTTAGTAGAAAACCACTTGAAAGAGAATACAACTGGGACTTAAGTGTTTTGTTTCTCAAATGGCATTATTATTTTGTGAGATGTAAGGAGAAAAAAATTCTCCCCGGTAGCTCAAATACTAGGAGCTGTTATATGATTTTACTAGCTAGCTGACTGCAGTTGAGACTTAAACTGGTAGTGAGCGCTGGAAATGCAAAGGTTTAAAAAAACAAAACAAAACAAAAACCCTGTCAGTTTTAGTCTAATAACATTCCAGATCTGACACATTCTTGAGAAAACCTAAGTGTTTAGACAAGGAAAGACAGCCTTTAATAAACTAGCTTAGGCATTTAATCTCTTTTGAAGAGCACAATAAAGCCATAAGCTCTTCATAGGCTAATGTTAGGGTTTCCGGCAGACAGCTCTAATAGACAAAGGAGTTTCTAAGCAGTGACTGAAATTGCAAAAACACATCAAAAGCAAAATTTGTAGAGTAATCTTTGCACACATATGTATATATAATGATTTACAGTAACAGTAAATGAAATCATGATAAAATTGCATAATCATTTTGCAACTTATAAAGAATCAAGAGACCTCAACATGACTATCAATGATTGCTAATACATCATGAAAACAATTAGACTTTATGTAAATCATCAGTCTTAGCTCTCAATTAGGAAATAGACAAATACATGGGGAGAGAGAAAAAGAATCTGAATATTATCAAGGTTCTAGGAAATGGGTCAGTGAGATGGCTTGGCAGGTAAAGCACCTGCTGTCAAACCTGACTACCTGAGTTTGACCCTTGAGACCCACGTGACTAAAGGAGACAAATGCAAACTGTCCTCTGATACATGTGCTTGGCATACACAGTCCTCCCCATACCATGTACACACAAACTAAATAAAATAGTAGCAAAATATTAAGAAGAATTTTAGGAAGTACAGAGAACAAAACAATACATTAAATTACAATACTGAGATGCAATCAACAGAAAGTACTATGAGAAACCATATAGGGATGACGCAAAAGAAGGAAGAAAGAGAAGAAGAAAAGAAATAGATCTTGAGGATTATCAAACTGTTGATGGGGACAGGAAATCATTTTCTTCAGTGTTATAGCCACCGGTAAGATGCCCATGCTCTGTAAATGCTGGGACACAGACACACATGAAAGTAGAAGCAGGCTAGCTGGGAAGAGGAGAGTGAGTGGTGAGTGGGAATGGGAGAGGATGAGTGTCTGGGGCAGCTGACCTGTCGAAAAGTACCTGACAAGGGGAGTGAGGATTGAGAAAGAAAGAGGCAAAAGACAGAAGCTAGAATCGGGAGGGCTCTCAGTGAATACTGCCGCTGTCTTAAATTTATACCCAAGGCAAAAGGAGGAGGGCAAAAGACTTCCTTTCTTTGGTTCAAGGAACAAATAAGTGTAATCACCCCCTTAATTCTCAAAGCATTTGGCCTTTGGCCAAATCCTGCCGTTTGACCTTGAGGAGCAAAAACAAGCTTGAACTCTCTGATCTTAAGTCAAGATGGAATGGGGTCACTGTGGACTCCCACGGATAAGGCAGAGTAAGAGGATGTGAAATATGATGGAAATATTTTATGAACATGTATGAAAATGTCATAATAAAAAAATACACAAACCCTGCCAGGTGGTAGTGGCGTCAGCGGTGCACACCTTTAATCCTAGCACTTGGGAGGCAGAGACAGGCAGATCATTCTGAGTTCCAGGACAGCCAGGGCTGTTACAGAGAAACCCTGTCTTGAAAAACCAAACCAAACAACAACAACAACAATAAAAAACAAACAAACAAACAAACAAAAAACCACAAACCACATCAGTAATCTGGATGTAAAGAAGTAACTAAATTCCAAAGGACCTATGAAGATCTTTAAAGAGGAAATACTATTACTAAGCCAGTCTTACAGTTTAAATTTCAGGAGCAAAATTGTAAAGACTTATACATTACTTTTCAAAAAATGGACAGAAATTCTTTTTTTTTCTATAAATTATAAACTTTTCTCAATTAAAAGTCAGTGGAAAAAGAAGTTGCCAATGAACCAGCTCCCAAATTCAGAGGCTGTTTAGAAATGAGCAGTGACAAAGTTTCTGCCAAAATCTATGTATACAAGCACATGTAGAGCTTTCTGTGCTCTTCTATATAAGGCTGTGATGTGAGCAAATTAATTGTGCTCCACAGCAAAGGCAGAAAGCTGGATGAGAATCTTGTTTCACTGCTAGAAATTACTAGTTCCAAAACCTCTAGACTATATCTTTTTTCCTCAAAAGGGAAAAACAGCTGAGGCTTAATTCCAAATAAAATCATCTTACACTAAAATAAGAGTTTATTACATTTCCCCCAAATCAAAGATGACACATAAGGACGTAACTTGAATAAGGGTCATGAACTGGTTGGACACAATTAACGAGTGGTTTTTATGAATTACAATGAATGCAGCTATGGTCTAATAATGACAGTATGGAAGAGGAAATAACCTCTCTGGCAGGCGTACAGATGCACAACACATTTGTTTCACTGCTTCCAAGTACCAGTGCTGGAGACTCTGAGTAAGTCAATGGGAGGAGGATGTCAGGAGAAGGAGTCCCAGTGAACAGACACAGGACGGCATGCTTAGGAAACACACGCAGATGAGAGGTAAGTAGTTAGCAAATACATATGGAACTAAGTTTTTGTTGTTTCCATCTTAATCTTCAGGAGCTGTGCTTCCACAGTCTTTTATATCTATTTAGTGGATTACAATTTATAAAAACAAATTTAACGGGGTTTGTGAGTATAATGAACAAATAACTTCATCTTCCTCTTAAGGTGCTTCTTAAGGGAACTGGGAAGGGCAAGGGAAAAATAAGCACTTAAAAAAATGGTTCAAATCTGGCAGACTTAGGTGACCACAGTTAAGACTCTGTAGAAGGATGTAGTTATTACTAAAAGCAAATACTTGGCTAGTAATACTTCAGACTACTTTCTCTTCAACTGAAGGAATTATAAAATGAGTCATAAAAAATCATTTAAATCAACACCAATCAGACAAATGACTACACAGACTCAGATTCTCAGCTGGTAAATCCAGGCCTTAGGTGGGCTTGAGTCTTACTGGGTGGGCAGCCAGTACTTGCTAATCCATTACTTGCAACTATTTAGAGCTTTTATTCTGTATGTTTTCTAAAACTAAGAGGGAAAGTATTCAAGGCTCAGATAGCATGGTGTGTACTATCTCCTCTCGTATTACCTCTGTGGCAAATAAGAAACAGCATTTTTGTGGGCACTGGCTGAACTGTGACATATGCATACAGGAGGGGGGTACTTTGTGGTTTTTTATTTTATTTTATTTTTAATGTTTTCTGGAAATGACACAACCTCTCTGTAACTAGGGGGAACTCTCGGATATTTAAGTTCAAATTCATCTTTTAAAATTACAGAAAATAAAAAAAGATGAAAAACTAACTTTTTTCCCCCCTTCTTCTTCCACATCTATTGGTGTTTTCTGAAATCATTGAGTTTTCTGAAATCTAAGCTTCTAGAAAAGACTAGAATGTGAATGTCTTACCGGCAAATGTGGGCAGATGTGTACACAATCTCATCTTGGAGAACCTAAATCTTTAAAAAGGAATATAAGCCAACTTTGGCTTTGAATGGCTGGCATGGGTACAATGCCTTCCAAAAGCAGATGACTAGCTTAGCTACTGACCATGGTGACCACTGTCTGGAAATGGACTGAATCACAGAACAGCGAACGCCTTGCTCTTACAGAATGTCTGAACAAAGCACAACTCCTGAGCACATTTTACAGAATATATGTGATCACCTGATTTCGTCTAACCATTCTGGATTAAAGACAGAATCAGTAGGAAAGGAAATGAAGCTGACTGCCGAGGAACAGGGGAGCAGAGTGCACTGGGCAGCACTGCTGATACTCATGGTGATAATACCCACCATCGGTGGGAACATCCTTGTTATTCTGGCTGTGTCACTGGAGAAAAGGCTGCAGTATGCTACCAACTACTTTCTAATGTCCTTGGCGGTGGCTGATTTGCTGGTTGGATTGTTTGTGATGCCAATTGCCCTCTTGACAATCATGTTTGGTAAGTATTTCCCCTTGTTCCTGACACTGAAACCCCCAACTACTAAAAGCCTGACATTCATTTGATCTTTATTTCCTTTGGAACTAAACATGGACCTGGACTAAAGACACAGACGGGAACATTCCCTCATTTTTTCTATGATTTGTAATAAATGTGAAAGGATACAAAACAAATTCTAGGAACAATTTTATTTCCACCTTAGCCATCTTATAAAGCCATTAATTTAGCAATATTATTCACAGATTCTGCATGCATTACCTAAAAATTATATTAAGTAAAAAACAAAAAACAAACAAAAAAAAAAAAAAAAAAAAAAAAAAAAAAAAAACAACCCACACTTTTCAAATTCCCTTTAACAAAGTAATCAACAACTTTAACAATTCTAGAACTTTAATAATAGAATCACTGTATCACTGAGTCCTATTCCTACTACAACTCTTGCCTTGAACCTTTAAGAAAAGATGTTTATTTACAAAAAGAAATGGTCTGGCTCAGAGTACCTCAAGATAAGACCCATCTGTTTAATTTTTTTTTTAAATGATCATCTGTGTTCCCAATAAACCTGTGAGCCCATAAAATAAGTGGAATGGATTCTGAGTTACTATAAAAATATAGTTTGACTTTCAGTAGGCATAAGGAGTTTCTTATGTGTGTACATCATCCCAAACTATGTGAGTAAACACAAATGATTCTGTTGAGGAATTATGAGGGCTCCAAGTCTCAAAGCTAGCATTAAAAGAACACTTAATTAGTCAATATTTGGGATAAACTGATATTCCACTAATAAATCACTTAAGAAAATTATAGATGCTCAAGCTTCCAATAATTGTACTTACATGTGGAGAATTAAACACACAAGTTATAGAACTAAAATTTACTAACCCAGAACACACTGGCATATTAAATTAAGAAGGAAAAAACCCCGCTATCCCAATTATTTTTATAAGAAACAAGAGGGAGACATATAAAATGAAGAACTTGTATCTTCACATGTAAGATGATGAGTTAAAACTGCCCACTGCAAAGAAGCACTTGCCCGGCTTTAAACGACAAACAAGAATCTACTGCCTTAGTAGATTCATCAGTAGTACTGTTTTCTCTTCTTTCCCTTTCTTTTGGAGATTCTGTAATCTCCTGAATAGCCTAATGATATATGTTAACCACAAAGACTAAGAAATACACTGTCATACAATGTGAAGCTCAAAGGAAAGAGGGAGGATGTAGGCAACGTATGTGGAAAAAGACCTCACAGGAGTAAGATCCCAATTCTCAACTCCACATTCATAACAATAGCTTAAAGATAAAAGTACACCCTTTGGTGCTTCACTAGGCATATGGAAAATATTAAGATGTATTATCTTTGTTTTACTAACATGAAATTAAAAACACTGAATAAAGAATTGAAGGAATTTTACAGAAGTAAATTTTAACTTGAAAGCTTAGTCCATAAATACCAAATATCTGCTATATGCAAAATTCTGAGCTAGGTAGTTAAGTCATTGCTTAGCATAAGGAATCTTAACAGAGAAAAGACTACAGTGTTCACATTAACTGACAAAAACTTCACAAGGTTTCAAATAGTAGGCATCCCATGAGCTGAAGAAATTGCTTATATAGAAACTATTTCTTAAGATATTCTTAACAAAAAACAGTAGAAAACTAAACATTTTAACATAAAATATATAGAACACCTACATATTTAGGTCTTAAATTATAACACATTTAATAGTATTTTATTCTTCAAATACTTATAAAACAATTAACATAAAATGTCTCATAGTCCCAACCAGTAATTATGCTGTTATCAGATTTGGGGGTGAGGAATCAACCCTAACTAACCTGGGAACATAATCATCATTTAAAATGTCACAGCATGAATTCATTATTTAAGCCATAGTCTGTGACCACAGGGCATATGGATACAAGCTACCCCTGGAAAACATCAAACGAATGTTCATAAACTTGAAGCTGTGCACAGTGTAAATGGGTGGGGACCTGACTTCAAATAGTAGGATCTTTGTATAGCCTTTCCCAGCCTGATAAATACAAAGACTTTCTAAACTAATACATTTTTATTATTTTATTTTATATAACAAAGTCCAATTAAATGAAAACAAACATTTATACACAATATTTGGGAATTTGGGCGTCATTCTTTCCAAACTACTTCCTGCTGGTAAGGGGCGCTGTCATGGGGGATTCGAAGAAGATTCAGAAATCCTGGCTGTAGTCTGTAGGGCTGCTCTAAACTAATACATTTGCATGAATTTCTGATAATTTTTAAAAGTAAGTACATGGTGTATGATTTTCTCTAATTACATAGGGAATCTTCAGAACTTCTGAAGTCTACAAACCAAACCTAAGTGTTCTTGGTTATATAATCAAAAAGCTATTACAGCAAGTTCAATGAAAGCAAGAAAAAACATTTATAGCAGTTAAATAATCTAATAAAGTCAAACTTTAAAAAGAATGAGCTAGAAATAACGAACTGGCCCTGGTGTTCTTAACTAAGGGATATTTTAGTCAAACATTTATTTGTAATATTTAATTCCATATTGTCTGAATTTCTGCTTTACCAAGATTATGGCAATCTTGACATAAAACAACTTTTCTGCCAAATCTTCTTTGGGAGCACTGGATGCCACCTTTACAGGTTTACTTATTTACTTACTTTTTATTTCTACTGTTTTACCTACTATTCTTAAAATCCATGATCACAGTACAATAGCTTTGGACACAAACTCTAAAAATACATACATTAGAAATACTTGGGCAGTGAAGTCTGAGGCAGGGAGACTGCAAACTGGATGCCAGCCTGAGATTTATACAGCATGACCCTGTTGCAATAACAAACACCTTCAAACCACGAGCCACTGGCGAGATGGTCCATGGTAAAAGTGGGTAAAGGTGCTTGGTGGGCACCCCCCATCATCTCCAAGATCCACACAGAGAAAGGAGAGAACTTACTCATTCCTGTTGTCCTGTCCTTCACACGTGTACCAAGACCCATGCCATGGCGCACGCGCGCACACACACCCCAAAATAAAGTGACAACAATAAAGGAAGACAAAGCCAGGCACTTGGGAGGCAGAGGCAGGCAGATCTCTGTGAGTTTGAGACCAGCCTGGTCTACAAGAGCTAGTTCCAGGACAACCTCCAGAGAAACCTTGTCTTAAAGAAGAAGAAAGGGAGAAAAAAAAAAAAAAAAAAAAAAGAGGGAAGGAATGAAGAAAGGAAAGATAAAAAGAATATGTGAGTAAGAAACAGAATTATCTCTAATTTTTTTTCCAAATACATTAATTTTTTTTATCAAATACATTACTGAAAATGTGAAGGCAAATGTATATAACATTTGGTTATTCATTTGTGTTTTCTTTCTTTCTTTCTTTCTTTCTTTCTTTCTTTCTTTCTTTCTTTCTTCCTTCCTTCCTTCCTTCCTTCCTTCCTTCCTTTCTTTCTTTCTTTTGTTATGTTTTGTGTTATTGTTCTTCAAGACAAGGTTTCTCTGTGTAGACCAGGCTGGCCTGCCTCTGCCTCCGGGTACTAGGATAAAAGGTGTGCATGAGCACACTGGGCTCCATTGCAACAAATTTTAGTCCATGTTCTATGAGCCACAGTGAGAAGCAGTACCCATGGAGGGGGTGGAGCAGAGTGTATTAAGGTGGATGGAGGCTGGACTGGAAAGACTTTCTATTTATCAAATGGGAGAACAAGGCACTAAAACACTTTTTGGAAAGTGGAAATATAAAAAGGCAAGGACATTTTCTACTATGTACTAAATAGGTGAAAACACTTAAAACACTATCATATTAGCCAATCCCAGGAAATGCCATATGCTCAGATGAGAGGAAAACACACACAGACACGGACACACATGCCAAACCAAATCCCCCAAAACCAAACAATACCAACCAAGTAACCAATCTAGAAGCTTTGTACAATCTAAGCACTAACCACGTATTGCTTTTTGAAATATATATATATATATATATATATATATGCGCACAATTATTTTGTTTAAACAGAAGTTACTTGGGGCTGTCCTGCAACAATTAAGTTTCTAAACTGTGTGCCTTTGTGAACCTTATAGGCATAGTCTTTTCAGAATGCCTTTAAAATTCTTAAAATGAGGGAGATATTTTGCAACACATTTTGAGACTGATGCTAAATATCCTTTTTTTTTTTAAAAATGATGTAACTTAGCTTTCCAAACTACAAACTTGCCTAGTAGGCAAGGAGATTTCACATGCAGTGAATCTATCTCATCAAAACATGAAGCTTCTGGCTTTAAAAATAAAAATTAAAATCTTACAATTAACAAAAGAAAACCCAAGTAACAACATAATCCTCTTCCAAGCAAAAGCATGGGCACAGCCCAATTACAATATACATAATTATTAATGTTCAGTATAGTAACAAACAGCAGTAGAACCCAACTTTTACGATAGATTTTAGTGTAGTTGTTGTGTGTGTTCCTGCTGTGTCCTCTGTGTTCCCCAGTACAGGCTTAGGTTCAAGCAGATGCACTGCACTCCTGCTCTACTTGACGATAAAGACACGGTTTTACACAGGTGGCCCGCCGTGTTTCTGAACACGTGTGCCTCCACTGCTAGTTTGAGTGACTAGTCACCGTTCAAAACAGTGACAACAAACACTGTCATTTTCAGTGCTTTCTCTGAACACCGTTTCAAAGGTTTCACACATATTATTTTACTGTATTTCAAACCAATACTGTACCAAGCTATAAAACAGGTAATACTAGTGCCCTCACAGACAGACTCTACACCAGGTTAGCTAAATTGTTGGAAAGGATAAAAGGAGTGGCAGCAATATGTGAATCCAAGAGGACTGACTCATGCTCAGAATCACTGCTCTACTCTGCTTTCTCAAAGACAAAAATTGATCCGACCAACCTGAAGTACTGTATTCAGCATATGGGATTAACAAGAAAGCCTATAGAATTTTGGGGATGATGAGGTAGAACCCAGTATTTCAATTAAAAATACAATTCACATTATGTGACAGGATCCTTAGGTCTCAGCTAGTACTTGTACAAATCCTAGAGATCTATTTTCTGAGGAAGGTACTAGAAATAGGCAATGCCTATGAAGTTGCTGAACCTTGCAGGGAGGCAAACAGAAACTTAGGCAGCACGTGAGTGGCTACCTGCGTGTACATGGTCTTTACAGTATGCAGTTTCACCATGCAGTGGTCTTCTGACAGCTGAAGCAACTACTTCTCAATTGTTCCTCAAATGTTACTCTATGACATTTAACCTACAATTATGTTGGGTACCCATAGAAATGCCATTATTCAAATATTCTTCTCTGGTTGTAGTTCAAAGACAGGAATGGAAGAAAGCTGAAGATGGGATCTGTGGGTTGGCATATAGCTTAATGGCAGAGTGCTTGCTTCGCCTTGAGGCTCTGGTTCAATTCAGGGATGGTGGTGGTGGTGACGGGGTTTGAAGAAAAGGGTACAGGGCGAGTAGAATTTGTTTTTCAGAAAAACTTTATGTGGATCCAGGAAAAGCAGTTATTAATTAGTCTATGTGCCTGATTAACGTCTCACAGATTATTTTTCTTTTTATTTTTTAAACTTAAATCTTTCCTGTTTCACTTATTACAAATTTAATTGATATCCAATCCAAGTCCCACTGAAAATTGGTGGAACATAAGTTACAACAAATAAATGTAGTTATAAGTCAAACTTGATGCTTGCTATATGCTACATGGGTGCCCACCACAAGATTACATCCCTAGCTTCTTTTGTGCTTTCCTAAATTGTTACACTTTTGTTTTGGATGTATTGTCAAGGTTGGCTTTCAACTTACTGTGAGGCCCTGGCTAGCTGGAAAGTTTTCATTTTCCTGCCTCAGCCTCTAAGTGATGGGGTCACAAGCAAGTGTCCATTCTTGCTTTCTCCTCCCCTACCCCCCGCATTTGTTTTTTCAATCTTATTTTATGTGTGTATTTTGCCTGCATGTATGCATGAGTACCATGGGTGTGCCTGGTGCTTGCAGAGGCCAGAATGGGGTTTCAGGTGCCCTAGAACTATGGCTACAGATGGTTGTGAGCTGCCATGGGTGCTGGGAATCAAACCTGAGTCCTCTGGAAGAGCAGCCAGGCTCTTAACCCCTGAACATCTCTCTAGCCCCTTTCTTGCTTTTAATAAAAGGTTTCTGTTAATTTAGTGGCATATTGTTTTCATAAAAGTATCCATTAGTATTTTATAAAAGGTGGAATCTTAAAGATCTCTCTTAATTTCACATTACTCCTGTTCTTTCTTAAAATTCTATACCATTGTCAGATATTTCTGATTAAAATAAGAATGTTCTAGTGACCTGCACTGATTTTAATTCCCACGTCTCCAAAACTGGTGTTCATAAATATATTAACTCTGGTGGAAAATCAGGCTAACGGGCTTCACAGGCCTAATTAAGTCAGCGCTGGAAAGTTTGCCTTTTTAGCCTATAAGAAGAAATACTGTGGGTCAAAGAGTCAAATTCCAAAGACATGTACTTTTTATGTGTTCCCTGTGGCTTCCTGCTCATGGCTACAAGATTTATGACCAGAATTTTCCAGACCTTTATTTTCAAATGTAGAATACATAATTAAGGATAGCTAAGGAAGCAAGTTTAAATTAGTAGTAAAGTATTTTATTTTTATAAGTTCTACAGAGACTGTGTGCACTTGAGGATAAAACACTGTAGCCAGGTGAGGTAGAAAGTTCGCATATTTTTAGGTCAGCTTAAGTCACATAGTGCTATCTCAAACAAAACAAAACAACAACAAAAACAAGAAATTCCCAAACCGAAAAACAAAACAAAAACAACAGAATCACAGTAATGTCAGTGGTAGAAAACCTGCCTAGCATATTTCAGGTCCTGGATTCCATCTCTAGCAACACACATGCTCTTTCTTGAGTGTTTTAATTTTGATGCAGGCTCTTGCTATATTGCCAGGTTGGATTAATGCCTGGAATAAAGTGACCCTTCCCTGTCAGCCTCCACAGTAGCTGGGACTTTAGGGACTACACGATCCTATAGTTCAGACTTGAATATTTTTATTTCCCTACTCCTAGCCCAGGACCTAGAGTATAGCTTCCCTTTAGTTCCCACTGTGAAACTCAATCATTGATTGTTTTCCTTTAATGTTAAGTGGTTAAAGAATGCATTGCCATTCTTGTCTTAGGTCATTTTCCACTGATGCTAGAAAACTGGAATGCTACAGTTAAGAAAATGGAATTGCTTAGGTTCTATCTGCAGGTCTTTGCTTTAGTTTATTCTGAGAGACTCTCATGAGGTCCTAGTGTGCTTATGTGTGTATGAGAATCAGAGGGGTTGATGTTAGGTGTCTTCCTCAATCACTTTCCATCTTATTTTTAGAGACAGGCTCTCTCAGCTGAAGCCAGAACTCGCTGATTTGACTAGGCTGGCTGGCCAGCAAGCAAGCCCCAGGGGCCCTTTGGTTTCTTTCTGTCTCCCTAGCACTGGGGGTTACTCGTGCAGACTGTCCCCCACCTGGCTTGTATATGGGTTTCAGGGATATGAACTTAGTACTCATATTTGCATGGAAGCACTTTACCAACCAAGTCTCCTCAGCTCCCAGATGCTCCTTTCTAGGAGACATTCTAGGAGACACCAGTAAACGCAGGTACAGCTTTTAAGACTAAAATAGCCGTTACTACAAAGTCTTTCATAGAATAGATGTTTAAACTTTAATTTCCATACAGAAATTAAATCACCATACACCAAATCCATGTGGGGATTTGGTTCACTGCATTCTCATACAATGCTCATATATGTCAGATGGAACCTAAGAGCCTGCTTTTCCAACCAATGCCCCAGGTGATATCCATCTCTGTTCACTATTTGTAATCAGAATACACAATGTTCTAAAGAGCGTTTTCAATTAATATTTTAATTTTGATGAATAAATGTCCTCCTCCATAAACTTATACTCAAAGACTTAATTATATTTGGATTGACTCATTTGCAACATCAATAACATCTCCACAGTCATTTTAAGAGGCTTAAAAATATGTACTGGCTTAAGAAAAAAGATTAAACTGAAGATTGCCATTCTATAAGCAAAAAAATTCTTTTTCTTTCAGAGGCTATATGGCCCCTCCCACTGGTCCTGTGTCCTGCCTGGTTATTCCTTGATGTTCTCTTTTCAACTGCCTCCATCATGCATCTCTGTGCTATTTCAGTGGATCGCTACATAGCCATCAAAAAGCCAATCCAGGCCAATCAGTGCAACTCCCGGGCTACTACATTCATCAAGATTACAGTGGTATGGTTAATTTCAATAGGTATGTGGGGAATGCCAGAGGTATTGGTGCAGCGTCCAGTCTTTATTTCCATATGGCCAGAATGCCAGGTTTGGTATCTAGGAAAACTGAGAGGTCAAGACAATCCATTGATGTCCAAGAACTTGCATATCGCATTCACTGTGCAGCTTCTAAACCATTACCAGTAAAACCTATGCTAGCAGCAAGTCCATGTCTTCGGAATTGCTGAGATACCACCACACTTCAATTTTGATATTTAGGAAGTTTAAATCCCAAAGTGTTGATATTTGCCAACAAATCATTAAGGTCTAATTAGCACAAGGAATCTAGCCACCAAAGTAGCAAAAATGAAATGCATCTTAAATCACATCTAACAGCATAAACAAGATAGGAGAAACAGCCAACCAAGTCAAACTTTGTAAGCAAGTACTAAAGACCATAAATTCACCCAGGAAGTCGGCATTCCAATGTGTACAGACTGAAGGCAGTTAAATATCTACTTTAGTGTCTTAACTGTCCAAAAAAAAAAATCTAAGGTAGATGTTAAGCCAATGTTTAGAAATGGTTTATAGAAAGAAATCAATTTCCTTTAAACTGTTCTATGCTTCTACACTAATCTTTTTAATTTTTTTTTTAAGATTTATTTTTACTTTCTGTCTGAGTGCTTTGCCTGCACGTATGTATGTGTGTTTTGTGTATGCCTAGTGCCTGAGGCGGCTAGATGAGGGCACTGTACCTCTTGGAACTGGAGTTTTGGTTGGTTGGTAGCTACTTCTCCAGTCTACTATCACCTTTAAGGCTCAAAGATAGCTGCTATTAGATACCTCAAACCAAGTACAGTGTCCATTCAGAGCTCTCTTAAGTTAGTGCCAGAAAAAAAACTTGCAGATCTGTAACAAATGATCTGACCACCACATTCACTGATTCTCAGTAGAAAGAAATTTTTTTTTTTTTTTTGACCAGGAAAATTATGAATTCTGAAGAGTTGGGGAGTAAAAAAAAGCAAAACCAAAATAAAACAAAACAAAAAACTACTGCTTACTTCTCTCTAACCAGTGTTAAAAAAATGTGCTCAATAAAGAAAAACTTAGAGATTATCTTTACATTCCTGAAACAACGGCTTTAGACACAAACTTCGTTGGGAGTAAAAAAAATCAAGGTATGCTACTAGCCTGGCATGTGACAAAAGAAGAGTTTAAAAAGCATCTGCTCAGAACAGAGAATTTTTTTTTTTTTTTTAATCAAACAGCAGATGACCAGAATGAGAAAGTCACTGTCTAGTGAGGGAAAGAATAGCAGAAATAACAAGGTTACAGTCAGCAACCTTTTCTAAATGAGCAGGAAAATGGTGATAGATAAATTAAGGCTGGATAACATGACTTTATCAACATCAAATTTTTACTAAGTATAATGCGCAAGCTTGTAGGAGAATAAAATCGTGCTCACACATGCACGAATGCACACACTCAGACTCTTCCCCCAACCCCACTCCTTACTTTTACCTCTCTGGCTATCAAATACAAGTTGTTCTGGCTGAAAGAAGCCATAGTTAACACACTAGTAATGAGTATGGCTGTGCTCTGGTAAAACTTACAGAAATAGAATGTTAGAGTGCTTATAGCAATAGATGCTGACCCCCTGGCGCAGAGCACACAAACCCTTCTTTCTAGTGATAACTATGAAGCAGGTGGGAAGGGTCCAGGCGGCCACTGTAAAGGATTTGAGGAGCTACTGGATATTATAAATACGTTGTGAAGAAAACAGAGTGCTTTTGGACTCACAAAATAATACAAAATAAAAGATCAATCAGCTCACATATTTAAAAATATCTGCTGTTTTGAAGGTGTGACCTTGTGTTATTTCATTTTCTAATAACTACTTTCCTAAGCAACATCACATTTAAATACCTACTTTATAATACTTAAAAGTATTTAAAACACAGCATGAGGTACACAGATTCTCAACTATTAGAGGAACTCTTAACCTCGAAAGTAAGTCTCATAATTTGTACACACTTGTTTATTAAGCAGCAATTTTTAAAGAAAGACCCATTTTGTTTCTCTAAAAAGTTAGGATTAAAAGACATTCACAAATACCAAAAGATCAAATTGTTAGGTGAAACTGTATAACCTCAAGATGGTAAATAAATAGATAGCATTTGAAAATTAAGACACCAAATCTCTAAATTCTCTCTAAATTAACTACTCTGAGCTCTTTCCCAACCTGTTAAAAGAAGATTTGCTCAGTTGGATTTCATTTGTCAAGGATCCACAGATAGCACCTGACAGACTTGAAGCTGAGGTCCCAGGATTTACAATGCACTCATCAGCACTAAATTTAATCTCAAAACAACTAATCTAAGAACAGGTCATGAAAATGACTCCGTTTCTCTTGCTTCGTCTTCCTCAGGCATTGCCATCCCAGTCCCTATTAAAGGGATAGAGAATGATGTGACTAACCCAGACAACATCACCTGCGAGCTGAAGAAGGAACGTTTTGGCAATTTCATGCTCTTTGGCTCCTTGGCTGCTTTCTTTGCACCTCTTGCAATCATGATCGTCACCTACTTTCTCACTATTCATGCTTTACGAAAGAAAGCTTACCTGCTTAAAAACAAGCCACCTCAACGTCTAACTTGGTGTACTGTGCCCACAGTTTTCCAAAGAGAAGAATCGTCTTTTTCATCACCTGAAAAGGTTGCCATGCTGGATGGTTCTCACAAGGATAAAACTCTACCTAACTCAAGTGATGAAACTCTTATGCGAAGACTGTCTTCAGTTGGAAAAAAATCATCCCAAACCATTTCTAATGAACAGAGAGCCTCAAAAGTCCTTGGAATTGTATTTTTCCTCTTTCTGCTTATGTGGTGCCCCTTTTTTATTACAAATATAACTTTAGCTTTGTGTGATTCCTGCAACCAGGCTACTCTCAAAATGCTCCTAGAAATATTTGTGTGGATAGGCTACATTTCCTCAGGGGTGAATCCTTTGATCTATACCCTCTTCAATAAGACATTTCGGGAAGCATTTTGCAGGTACATCACCTGCAATTACCGAGCCACAAAGTCAGTAAAAGCACTCAGAAAATGTTCCAGTACACTCTACTTTGGGAATTCAATGGTAGAAAACTCTAAATTTTTCACAAAACATGGAATTCGAAATGGGATTAATCCTGCTATGTACCAGAGCCCAATGAAGCTCCGAAGTTCAACCATTCAGTCTTCATCAATCATTCTCCTAGACACACTTCTCCTCACTGAAAATGATGCTGAAAAAACTGAAGAGCAAGTCAGCTATGTGTAGAACATGACGTCTTCATCTAACTCAAGTAAGATGATGAATATGACGCAAGTGCACCAAGAAAAATGCATAGAATTAAAAAAATCATCTCCTGGAAGCAAGAATTAATACTAAACAAGGTCAAAACATGGATGAAGTAGTTCTGTATGGCTACAAAAAAAAGCAACCCCTACTCTGGTTTTCAAATGAAATAAAATTATATAAATCGACAAACTTTAGTCTTCAAAGAAAAAAAAATCAATATCATAAATTATTTTAAGTTCCTAATTGTATGTAAAGTTGTGCTAAGAATTAAATAAAATGAAAAAAATGTTAACTCTCTTAAGTTTTTAAAAACATAAGGCATAAACAATAGTGACAGGACCAAAAGACAAAAACAGATGACTAAAACAATGATTACAGAGCTAGGGAGATGATGGTTCAGTGCTCAGCATGCAAGAATGAGGGCTTGAGTCTGGGCTCCCTACACCCACACAACTTGCCTGTCTGCAATCTTATTGCTGGGAATGCAGAGACAGGAGGATTCCTGAGCTTGCTGGCCTTCTACTAATGTTGAATCAGTGAGCTCCACATCCAGTGAGACGCCCCACCCTCTAAAAATACCACAAAAATATGATATATACTGGATCCCCCCCAATATACATGTAAAACCCTAAAACCAAAACAAAGAATGACAACAAAAAACCCTTCTGATAATATTTATAAGAGTGACTTAATAGTGATCAGGAACTATGGAAACCCGATCCAGAGACCTAAGTAGTTAAGTGAGTGATGTCATAGACCATGTTTACATCTGCTTGTATATACCCAACGATGTGGCTGAACTTCTAGTACAAAATTTTTCATTTATTGTTTGTTATTTCACCCTGTGCTATTAGAGCTGGAAACGAGTCCTATACTGGACAGCTAGCAAAATTTGTAAATGATATTCAGTTTAACTGTCCTCAGTTTTTGCATCTACATCTTGTGCCATTCTTAACAGGGATTAAGTAAAAAGCAGTCCTGTTGGTGTATTCATTTAATGATACCAACACAAATGGTAAACAAACTTAGGCTAGAGGAGGTGGCAATCAAGAAGACAAGCCCATATTTTAGCTTTGCTATCTAAAGCTGAGCTGTACTTAGACCTCCTGGTCTATCAAGGATACTTTCTAGGCAACTGAGTTTAGGATAATTATTATCTTAGGAAATGTGCAGGATGGAGAATCTCAATGTAAGTAAACCAGCCATATATTCCTCCAGTGGAATAATCTTTTCCTAGAACATGGATCTATGCATAGACCCCAACAGGTACATATATATGTAGGGGTTCTGTATCATCTGGCAGGCAAAGTATATCTCAAATTTAAATTAACTTATCATTAAAGCATTAGGCATTTCCCCCTAGTGGTCCTAATATTTTCAACAGCATTCAGATGTGTTAGTTCACTTAAAAAATAATTTATACTTCCCCATCCCCAAAATAGATTAAAACAAACAAAAGCCAGGTTTGGGTTATAATTTGGTTTGAGGTTATAATCTGATAACTCTGACATATGTTAAGATTTATATTCTTGTCATAGCAAACATTATTTTCTTCCCCTTCCTGATGCTATAAACTCAGGGCCTAATGAATGCCAAGACAAGTGTGCTATTGCCAAGCCACTCCCCAACCCTAAGGCGGCTACTGTCAGACATCACACTGATAACAGTCTAAGGTCTACACTTTATACACCTGGAAGCACACAGGTGTTTCAGGAATTCTACTCACATGGTTACCAGTAATGCTACCAAAGCGTTCCCAATATACTCTATGCTGTTTGCAGATTTCCATTACTGCTCACCTACAAAAATAATAACAGAATCTATATAAACTAGCTTCAGATGTCACTTTAAAGATTCTTTGACCTTGTCTATAGCTAGTGAGATCATTCTAGCATTTCCAGACAGTCTACTGACTGAAATGTAACATTAATATCAACTATTTGTAAAAAGGAACAACATAGTTTCAAATTTTTACCACTGGTATTTAATTGTAATTTCTATTTTATGAATAGAAAAGAAATCTGTTATTTGATGGGCTAAGCTAGAGAGATTACTAAGTGCTTAGAGCACTGGCTGCTCTTTCAGGGTTGATTTCCAGCACTCACATGGCGGCTCACAACTAACTCCAAAGAATCTGATGGTGGTATGAAAGCGACACACAGATACACACATAGGCAAAACACCCATATAAATTAAAAGGAAAAAGAAAAAGCAGGTCTCAGTATATGTAACCAAGGTTAGCCTTAAAGTTATTAGAAGCATGTATTACCATTATGCCTGTCAATTTTTTAAAATGTATGTTTCATTTGTTTGGTTTTAGTCTGTCCTCTGACACACTGCTGAGGATCAAACTCAGGGTCCTGCAGATGATAGAAAACTGTCTTACCACTGAGCGACATTCCCAGTCCTATTTTTATCACTGATCATAGACATTATAAAATAATAGTCTCCAAATCTGGAGAAAGGCTGAAAATAGTACATCTGCATGGTCTATTCTTGTGAATAAATAGAATAGTATAGATGAGAATTTTACACAAAGATAATTTCATTTAAGAAAGAATGAATATATGTTTTTGATATTTATTTCCAATAAGCATTATCTAAAGTTTTTTTTTTTTTTTTTAATCAAGAAAAAATAAATTTTAAGAGGCCAGAGATGATGGTACATGCGTGCAATCCTAACACTTGGGAGGCTCAGGCAGGATGATTATGAGTTAGAAGCCAGCCTGGGCTATACAGTCATACTGAGTTAGAAGCTGGCCTGGAGCAAGAACCTAGCTCAAAACCCAAACCCTGATTCTACCAGAGTAAAGGGAAAGACAAAATGGAGGGCTCTAGAGAGATGGCTCCGATGTTTTTGCAGAGGAAGGACTTAGGCTCCACTCCCAGACCCCACGTACAGTTCCAGGAGATCTGACACTGGTTTCTGGCCTCTGTGGGCACTGCACACATGTGATGCACACACATACATATAGATAAAATACTTGTACACATACAATAAAAAAATTAAAAAAAAAACTGGAGCACATACTTGGAAGCAAATAATGTCACATGAGAAAAAAAATGTAAGAATTTTAGACAAAGGACAAACACTTCTCAAATATTAAACACAACAAGGAAATCTGAGGAACAGTATTTTGTTATAGCCTCTTCAAGGAAGACAGAGCTCTGACAAAAACACAAGGAAGAGAAAGCTAGATTTATCATGAGACTGTTAGGAATCTAGGGCTCATCATTTAGCTCTACAACAACACAAACTTCATGAAATTTAATAGCCTTAGCTTAAAAATATGTATTTAATATGGGCAAATAAGATAGTTTAGTAGGTAAAGGCACTCTGCTGCCAAGTCTGATAACTTGAGTTTGACCTCTGGGACCCAAATGGTACTAGAAGAGAATTGACTCCCACGTTTTTTTTCTCACTTCCACACCGGCACAATGGTACACACATGCCCACAGGCATATGTATATACAAATAAGTAAATACAATAAAACATTTAAAAAGAAGCTTACTGATTTCTAAGTTCCTTTTGCCTTTAAATATTCATGTTTGGAGAATATGCATTAAAGTAAAAATTTAAAAACTTGCTCTTTGACTTTAGTCCCCTGAACTAATTGACCACATTTAATATTCTTCATCTATAAAAAAGGTTTAAGCAAGAGAGTTTCTCAATCTTCTAGCCCCTACCTATTCAAGAAGGTACTCTGGAAAACAACTTATCAAGGTGCTTCAATAAGCCACACACAGGGTATATACTGGAAACCTCTGCTATTTAGAAAGCGGAGGCAGGAAAATCTCTTGAGCCTGAGTTCAGGACCAGCCTGGGTAATACAGTGCAAGTACATAATTCATTTGACTCACTAGCGCCACCTGGCAATCATGGTGTGAAAGGAGTGTACTAACAAAAGATGGCTCACAGGTGACACCTGCTGCTGAAACTGGGATTTAGCACATATATGAGCCACAGGAAATAAGGGGCAAAAAAATTAGAATAAGCAGATATTACAGGAAACTGAATAGAGAAAATTATTTTACTTCTCAAACACAACATTGTTCCTTTTCATAGACACAAAACCAATCTTACTGGCCCCTCTTTAAAGTTCAATATGTTCAGGTCTTTAAGAGTCTACTTAAGAAATGGAATACAAACAGAATCTAAAGCTAAAAAATTATTACCTGAATAAAATGAAGCCAAGTGATTCTACTGCTGCTCTCCTGACATCATCATTAACATCACTGACCTAGAGGGAAAATTTAAGATGAGTGTAACACACATTATAACATACATTCCTTTAATAAAATGATATAAATGCCCATTAGTCAAATGTAAATTAGGCCTAAATAATATTTCTTCATTAAGTTTTTCTCCTTCCTAAGTATATCAAATGTATTATATACCTTAAATGTATACAGTAAATAAATATAAGAAATAATGACAAATATAATTTTTAAAAAGTCTTTCTTGGTTCACCTTTAATCCCAGCACTAGGAAAGCAGAGAAAGGCCTATCTCTGTGAGCTTAAGATCAGTATTATCTACATATGATATTCAAGGTTAGCCAATGCTACATGGTAAGACCCTATTTCAAAAATTAAAAACAAAACAAAACAAACAAACAAAAAACCCTCTCTTTTCTTAATTTAGAAAAAATAAATCCCACTTTGAAGCTTCTTAGATGCCGTTGTGGCCCGGTGAGGTTTAAGACTAATTCAGATGCATTATAACTTTTGGAGGTATAAGGGACACAAGCATTCCTTCAATGTTGTTTTCAAACAATATGCCCCAAGATCAAGCAAAATGCAATTTAATTCATACTATGTTGACTGTGGTAGTTTGAATGGAATGGCCCCCATAGGGCTTACAGGGAATGGCACTATAGGGAAGTGTGGCCTTGTTGGAGGAAGCATGTCACTGGAGGTGAGCTTGGGGGTTTCAGAAGCCCAAGGCAGGCCCGTGTCACACTCTGCCTGCTGCCTGC